GATTCTTTCTCCTCTCTCCCCACTCTCCGTGGGTATAACTTCTTGAGCTGAGTTGGTTGTAGCTGTGAAAAGGGGGAGCGGAATTTAATGGGACATGGATTTTTCTCTGGAGTGATCGCATCTGTTTGTGTCGAGAATGATGGTCACACACGGCTCAAATTTATGCTGCTCGAAGCAGCTGGAATAGTTCTTATGGGGTGGAGCATATTTGTTAACGACAATGAATCTTAATATAATAATTTAGCCTCCGAAAAATGCAGTCTGAAAATTTGGTTTACAGTAGAACACCTCGAAGATGTTATTAAATTAAGACTATTCTTTACTAAAGGATGAGTGAGGGACTTGGAAAAGTTTTATCATTCTACAGTTTTAAAATAAATTTATTTTTTTATTCCAGAATATTTCTTATCTCATCTTTAAAGTTTATCACTTGGAATATTCAAAATTTATCACTTTGAATATTTTACAACAATTGCATTTTTAATACTTTATTATAATCATTTCAAAATATTTTATCACGGTATGAAATAGTATAGAAAGAACATGTATATTTAAAAAGACGAATTCAAATGAAGTTAAACAAACAATCTGGAATTTCTGAAACATACCGAATAACAGTTTTATTAGCATCAGATAATTTTGCCAATATTATTTTAAAGCGATGAGGTTCTGGTTCTAAATCTAGTTTTTTGTATAAGCTGATGTAAGTAACACAATATCATTCTGAAGAGTCTAAAAAACCCGGAAGAAGAAAAATAAATGCGTAATATCTCTTTTTACTAAGTTTTTTAAAGCTATATCTTAGCTTTTGAACATAAAAAAAAAAAAAAAGTTCAACTCGAAAAGAATTTTTTTAATTTTAAGAATTACGGCGATTGTTTTTACATATGTGCGAGTATATATACGTATGCATGTATATGATGTTGTAGTTTTTGCCGTAGATGAAACACATTCACTTTTTAGTCATAGCCGAGAAACATTGCTACGTAGTTATGAGTGGAACGAAAATCACAACTGGCTTAATGGTTAAACATCGTTTTTATTTTGAACAGAAACAACAATTTTGAACAGAAACAATTAACAATGGTTAAACATCGTTTTTATTTTAAACAAAACAATAAATTTTTGCACGAATTGGTACAAAACAAGGGGTGCTAAACGCTCCACACAGTTTCTACATATGCCGTTTGCATTTTAGTAGCGAAGAGACTTGTTTTTTCTTGGCAGAACAAGCAGCAAAAGAATGATGCGTATTAACTACAGTAGTATTTATAAGCTAAAAAAGTCTGTATTTTAATCCTGAGCAGTGACTGAGCAAAAGATTTCGTATTGTGGTTCATGTAGCGAAAGCGTGATGTAACATGATGCAAAATGTAGCCTAGAAGAGGAGATGCATGCAATTAAATTTAAGACCATTCCAATCAAGTTTAATTTGGTAATATTTTTTTGATATCTTACACATATATATATATACTTAAAACATCTAAAGTTAGAATTAAGTTGGAATCAAAGCAAGGCAGTTCCTCAACAATATTAACAATTGCAACCGTGGATAAGAGGTTTAACACTGTATCTAAACATATCAAAATTAAAATCAGAATTCTTCAGTAGAACAAACTCGAAACATAAAAATGTGAAAGGGGAAAAAATATACAAAATTATAAAATATAAAAATGTAAAAATTAGTCTCCTTTTACTGAAACTTTAATTCAGAACTCATCACGGGAAAATGTTTTAAAGTTTCATAAAAGTCGATTAATATGTTTCGAATACATGTTTCGTTCTTCTGGTTCATTTGAGATCGAAAACGGAAAAAAGATTTAATTAAATTTTCATTCAAGACTTTAAAATTCATTTAAAATAGAAAAATCTAATCTCAAATATATCCAGAATTTTCTCTATGCGCATTCGAAACACTTCAGAAAAAGAATAAAACATTACATTGTTCCAAATTAACTACTCAAAAAAAAAAAAAAAAAAAAAAAAAAAAAATCTTTACATTATGCAAAATGACCACTCAAAAAAGCAAATTGGTCAAATAACATTATATTTAAATCCGACATTCAAAAGCAATTACAAGTAAAAGAGCAAAACAAATACGCTTTAAATCAAACTACCATTTAAACAACAGTCAAAAATTGGGTGGTTCCCGATTATGCGATCCTAAACTTTTAATGCCAAGAAATCGAAAAACTTTTCCGAAGACATTTCTATAAATAATATAAAATCTAATCTGAGCCTAAACAGCTAAAAATTGAAAACATGTTTGAAACAAAAATTAAACAAAACGTAAACTTACTGAATTCAAAGACGACTATCTTTTTCTAAACTGTGTTGTGTGTGTGGGGGGGGGGTATAAAACGTTGGCTGCACTCTGTTAGAAATTATTAATGACGAGAAGAATGATTGTCAACTCCAACATGGCAGCAGAAGAAACTTTTTAAAAGATGCTAACTCCGTAAAATCATATACCGTGAAAACAAAACTGGCTTAAAGTTAAGGAAACATACGGGTTATAATAGATAAAAGTCTTCAAGTAATCGGGGTATAGTACGTCTTTGAAACAAGAAACTCCACTTTTTTAGTAAAAAGCAAGATTTGCCAGTTTATTTAAATTGACAAAATAGTAGAAAGATAGTATGAATAATAATTAAAAGGGAAAGAAACAAGATCCTTATACATATTTACATGAAATTTCATATCGTAGTCATCCGACCATTACCTCCGATTAAGTTTTAAATAATAATTATCATTTCACTTTAGATGAGAAATTTTAAAAAAGTAGTTAATACCAGCTTTCTTTAAAGATACAGAACTTAGAATAAAGGTGTTTTATTCTCTAAGAGAATTTTGACCAAGTTAATGATTTCTTCTCGTAAGTATTCGACATTGTTGCAAATATATTTGATTCTAAAGAGCTGAGTATGTATGGTAATAAGTATTACTCTTGGAGATATTTGGGATTGCCAATGAATAAGTTTTATAGTAGGGAAATCAAATCTCTTCTTTTGTCGTAAATTTTAATAGCTTTAAAATTGATAATTTGCAAATCTAGGTAATTAATATGTCCCTGTTGAAAGTTAATTTTATTGAGTTTTAAACATGAGGGATAAATGGGATCGTTTTCTATTTTATTGAAGTTGGTTGCAATAATAATCATCTACGTAGAGAATTGATGCAGTTGACATCCAGAGACTAATTTTTTCTTAATGCTTAATCTAGCTATGTATTATTCCATTTTCCAGTTTCGATGTATTTACTGTTATTGTAATGAGGTTAATTACGGTTTTGTCTTTTTGTTATTTTTTTGTCTTTTTTTTTTCCCCCATGCTCCAATTTCAAGCATCTTTGATGCATGGGGGCCATTGATATATAATCAAATGCCATTACAATAAAAAAATGTGAAGAACTCCAATCTTTAACTAAAGATCGTTTTATCACTTCAGTATAATTATTCTTTACGTTTACCGTAACAAGTTACGCTTCTACCACATGCTTTCTCTCTAAGATACACAGATTTTTTTTTTTCATCCAGTGTTTACATTTCCCAGCTTAGGAAAATAAGCAAGTTTTTATGCTTTACACTGATTTTCAAAATCTCGTATTTACGTCTTTTAACTAGAAATTAGTACTTTTTTATACTTATTAAAATTTTTAAAAAATTTCTTCTTTTTTAGTATTAATAACTTAAACTAAAACATTTTTGTCGAGTTTACCATGACGTATTTAACATTCATTTGGCCTTTAAAGTATACTTTTCTACCTTTCAAAATCCCTCTTTAGCATATTTGACTTCTTCTATACTCTTTATTGTAAATCTGACGTCGTTTAATCTAGAATTATTATTTATTCCTTTCATTTTTTAACGTCAAATTCTAGAGTTTTCAATTTATTTCATTTTCATTTCCCTTTTTACTTCCTTGTACGAAGTAAAGGAAGTATTGTAACTACGAAAAATTCCGGGTTTCATACTTCAATGAAAGTACCCATTTTGACCACTATCGAATGCAATTTAACGATGTTTTTGCGTAACATATGTACGTAAGGACAGAATAAAGGACGCTTTTCCTCAAACAAATTATAAAACTGATTTAAAAGATATTTTTTTCGTGGCCTATGTACGTACGTATGTATGTATCTCGCATAACTCAAAAACGAGTAGCCTCAGAACTTTGAAATTTTGTATATAAGACTCCATAACATGTTGTTGCGCACATCCCGTTTTGGGTGCAATCGGCCGCACCAAAAGTATATATATTTATTATATGCCCACATAGTTACTCGGCCCAGTGAGCTCAGTTTTTTATTCTTATATGTTGGTAAATTGTGCATTTTTTGTTTTAAAATGATTGAATTATGTTGTTCTTATCTTCCGATTAAGGTTTTTAAGCCTTTAGTTAGTCTGCTTGCAATAGTTGTAGAATTATGAGCAATTTGAAAGTTGTTTAAGTGTAGCTAAGCCTAATTTTTTTTTACCATAGCAGCCATATTTGTTTACGTTTGCAACTTAGCAAAACAGTGAATTAAGTCTTTCTGCACCTTCAATGTCTTTTTACCGAGAGTTACCAAAACGAAACTTTTAGTTTCGTGCACCGAAAAATCTGCTTTCTTGCCTGCTGGCCGAATTGCTTGTTTTGGGGTAAAAAGTGTAATTTTACTTGTAAAATTTTTTTAAAATTGTTTTAACTGTAGTTGGTGTTTTATATTTTTCTATATTTTTCAATTTTTAATAAAGATATTTTGAAGTTTCATGTATTATTGCCTTACCGCGAAGTGAGAACTGAATTCATTGACTAAGAAATATATCTCTAATCAAATTCGAGGAAATAAGTTAAAATGAAATGCAGCAAAAAATGCATATAATTTAATATTCCTTACAAGGAAGTCATGTAGTGTACGTATCAGATATTTTATTTTGTAATCATGTTTTTACTTTTTGCGTTTTTTTCATTTCCTAATAATGTATACTACATTTTGTGTTTATTTAATATTTTCTTTAGAGTTTGAATTCGCCTGGGACTATTTTTTGACTGAGTGTGAGGTTTGTCTTTGTAATGTAAGTGCACTATTTTAATTTGTTCACTCAAGTAGTCGGGAAGAATGAAACGTGTAATTCAGTACACTTTACGTATTCCTAATTAATCACCCCCTGACGAGTCGTAATTGAAACATTAAACTGTGAATAATTAAAATTCAGTTTGATTTTAAGAGTATTTAAAAAATTAAATTAAAGATCCTTGAGTAAGTTTTAATTGCATTAAAATTAATTTGCTAAAATATTTTTTTTTTTTTTTCATTTTCCACTGATTTGCACGTTCCAGGATACTTTATTAATATAGCAATTTTTAACAATATTGCCATGTATATTTTTTCTTTTTCTTAAAAAAAAATTTTTTTTTAAATTTCGGGCTTACCAGCTTCAGCGCTAGTATTTATTATTTTAGGCCTTAATTATTTTTTGTAAGTTGCTAATTATATATATAGATTTCGCACTAAGTGAATTTAAGATCATACAAACATTATATTATATATATATTTTAATGGAGATTATCCCTTGGAAAATGAAGTGTATAAACCACTGTATATATATATATATATATATATATGTAATGATTATCTGTAGATAACTTCATGCTAGAAGATACCATTACGTGCTTTCGAAGCGAAAGCAGGGAAGAAAAGTTACTACGTATTTAGCAGCTGAGGTATTTGTAAACTCTGCTTCAGTTTTAAATGGGATTAGATAATATTGCGGATTCTACAACATTGCCAATCATTGCAGATGACATAATGAGGTAAGAGACACAGTACTGATTTTTTTTTTTTTTTTAAATCGAGCCATTGGAAATTTTGCTAGCGATTTATAGATTGCAGGAAACCTATTTGATTTATCATGATCTAAACTAACTTTTATTGCAAACTATTGTTAAGAAATCCAATTAAAATAATATTCTAAATGATCAATTTATGCTGTATTGACGTACCTTTTTCAATATGAAAGGCAAATTAAAAATCTTAAGCATCATCGATTGTGAATAATATATGTTTATGACAGGCAGAGTTTTATCCCTCTGTGAAATTAATAACATCTGGTCGAGGTGTTCTTCGACCTCTTGGAGTCTTAACAGAAAATAAATGTCAACTTTAAATGCAATCGACTCCTGGCTGATTCAGCAAAATAGTTTGCACTAACGCATGCTTTTGTTTGTAGTATATGACTTTAGATATTACTAATTAAAATATTGCTGCAGGTATGCAAAAATACGAGTATTATTCGTTGGACAGCTGATGATATTATACATGCTAACGTAACGTCTTTCCCCAAATTTTGTGAAAACTAAGCTAAGGGTGTTTTTAGTTAAAAAGGTATTGTTTTATCAACATCTATCTATTGTTTATTTTTTCATTATTATTAGCGAACGAAATCATTCCGAACGTGCCTCGTATATTATACTAGTAGAGTGCGATTATAGCGAGAAGATCAACAACGTGAATGCCAACAAGAAAACTTTTAAGTTTCCTTGCACAATGACACGGCCATATCCTGTTGTAGCAGAAATTTGAAATATTACCTTTTGAAAAGAATATTTAGATGTCAGCACAGTCGCTGACTATATGCAATATTCGACTTAACTTATTTTCCGATTTGGATCATTATCTGCAAGGAACAAGAGTGCGCACTAAATCACACGCAACCATTTTCAACAACTCCATTTAACCGATATTTTTAACAAAATACATCGCAACAAAGACACTTAACATTAGAAAAACCCTCGCATTCATCCTACAAACGATAGCAGGCGATTTAAAGCAAGAGCGAGAGAAATTTCCCCCTCTCAAACAAGAACAACAACAAAAAGAGCGAAAACCATGCTAGACGTATGATGGCCATAAATTCGCCGGCATTACCATGAACGGCAGGCATGCATCTATTTAAACCAGTCCGTTCAGGATCCCATAAGTAATTTCTAGACGCGGAATTAAAAACAAGAACGAAAACGAAATAATAATTATTATAACAACAACAACAACAAAAAATGGCAAGTTTCAACTCTCGACGCTACTTGAGAACGAATATGTGCTGCTGCGTCGTTTTTTCCCAAAGCAATTGCTGGAGATTTATGAAAACGTGCGTGCCACCATTGCCTCCCGCCCTTCCCCTGTCGCTTGTAGAGTCGAAGGGCGGGTTGAGTTTACGGCGACTTTTATGCAACCTCGAACGGAGAATTTTATGACCCAATTAGTAGGGCATAACCACGTGAGCGCCCTGTCTCCAGCCAGCGAAGAGATGCGTGGGGCCGCGATCGGGGAAAAAAAAAAGATTTTTTTTTTTTTCTTTTTGTGTACGATTCCGCCGACGTGCATACCTGTGCGACCACGGGAAGCAGTCGCTAATTATGTAGATACGCCGCCCTTGCTTCCAAAAGTGTCCGTCTCCGAACTGTTGGATTGCAAACTGTCGATACTATTCTCGGTAAAATCCTTATTTAATATGAAGAACCTTCATACTTCACATTTAAAAAATAATCTCTACACAGTTTCCAGTTTTTAATAAAATTTCCACAGCTGTTATTAAAAGATCGAGTGATCCAGGGCAAAAAATTCAGGGTCCAGTCCTATTCCGGGTTGATTTCAGGAGTCTGTCTTTGGAGCTGATGGATTCGAAAAACGGTAAGAGTGAGTGAGTGAGTGAGCGCCACCAAGGAAGACCACTGACCTGGCCTTAGCCTCACAGTGTGTTATCTTCCTGGCAGAAACCATCTACTCTCTGCTCCATCCTGCTCCGAGAACGCAGCCGAATAGACGGCTAAGAGCCTCATAAAGTCTACATATAAGCTTGGATGTTGTTGTACGGGGAAAGAGTATCCTGTTAGGAACTACTTAAAATTAAGCAAAGAAGCAATCAAAAGACTGTTAAGAATCGCTGTTAGAATAGACAGAAACTTGTGTTAGATAAAGTAAAGATAGGAGACTCTGCCTGAAAGATTAACTGCCATGGATTTCTGGACTTGCTAAATGTCTACATGCGGGTGGTAAGAACATTTCAAGAGTTATTAAAAAAAAATTGCCCTATTTTATATTGAGAAAAGAAATCCTATTCCAGGAGGAGATAGGTCAATGATTGCCAGATAGGAACTTTCACAAAAATAACAAAAGTGCCGATATTTCTAGGAAAAGCATTTTTCACTTCGAAAAAGTAACTTTCTAAAAATGCTGCTATACAATGTATGTACATTTTAGTTTGTGATTTTGATTAATAACGCAAATAGACATCCTTTTTTGCTTAACAATTCTCCGCGAGTACGCTTACGAAGGTTACTTTTTTCAAGTTCACTAATCTCTAAAGCTGCCGCTACATTCACAACGGGGCAACCTGTGAAAATTTCTGTACTAGCTGATTTTTTTTATGAGGACGTGGCACCTTTATAACTAGGTATCCTTACACAGAAGATCCGTTCCAGGGAGGTGTAAAAACCTTCGAAAATGTCCGAGTAAGGATGTCGGAAAATTAGACGTATTCCATCCTTTGATAAATTTCAGATGTTATTAAAAGACACAGTTCAGATAGTTCCACCTTGCTTGTGTAAAGAGAATTTGAAATATTGGATTCTATTGGAGATAAGCCCAAAGAGCATTTGGCTTCATGAACTTTGTTGGGACGATGTCAGAAACATATGCGCGTCAGTGATCAACCTATTAATACATTTAATGCTCTAAATGCTTTTTTGAACGGCACATCATATCGACATCAACTCTTAAAAACAGTTAAGATTCGTGTTCAATAGACTCAGTTTTTATATAAATCGGTGGTTATCTTTTAACAATGGTGAACAATTATACCGATAATTTACGAAATCGTTCTGTATTACTACTGTTCGAATGGTCAGTAACAGATATCTTCTTGGTCGATGGCAGCTACAGTTTGCATTTTTGCATATCTGGCTGAAAATCCCGATTGATTTTAAATAATAATTAATACTCCAGCTATTTCCTATACGCATGTCTAATGCTTTGTTTCCTTTTTAAATTACAGTTAAATTTAAAATATTAAATTTTAATTGAAATAAACAGTATTCCTAATATTTGTTTTAATTTAAATTTTTAAATTTATTACTTATTCTCCTTCAGAAATTTCCTTTAATAACGCAATACTATAATTTGCGTTTATACAGTATAAAAGATTACGAATAAAACCGAAACATATCAGGCATACCCCGAGCATGATTTGAAGATCACTTGATATATATTATCGCAATCATTATCTTCACGGGATCTACGGCAGCTCATTATTTCGTTCTCTTAAACATCTTTTATATACAGTTTTTCAACATTTCAAAGTCTTAAATTACTTTGCGTTTGCAATAAAAATCATGGCTACCCAATTACACGTTCTTGAAGTCGATAATGCACAAGATTTTTCATTTTTCTTTGATATTAAGAAATTAATTTAATCCTTCCTAAAGTAGTTTTATATGGACAGTATTTATTTAACAGTACTTTGCAACAACTGTTCTTTTATACCACCAGTGTCTTAAATAAAAAAAAAATTCTGACATCCTCTAATATGTCGATTACAAAATTTCTAAGCCTCCTTCTTGCGCTAATAGTTATCTGTATCAGTATTAAAATCTCATGGCTGAAAAAAAAAATCGTTAATTTGTAAAAAGTTAGCAATATTGAGTGCAACAGCAGATTGGTAGATTGCGAGCTCAGCGAGAGCGTAAAAAAACATTAACAACTTTTTTGGTAACCGTTAAAATCCGAAATCTTTGAGACTTCTTTTTAAAAATTATATTGATCTTCCCCCCCCCGCAGGATTTTTTGAGGAAAACTAACTGGGTAGCATTCACATAACACACGAGAAAAACAACAAAAGTTTGCATGCAGTTGTCATTCGTGTCCGGGTCGAACTACTAGTGTTCAGCGACCATAATTAGTTCCTATTACTCGATGACTGATGAACTTCTACTACTCATGAGGTGTTTATTTTCCGGCTTTATTATAACTGATGTGCAATAGTTATCTAAAAATAAAAAAACTAAGATGAGCTATTTTTAAATTTTCTTGACATGGTAGTAAAGAATGGGTGGTAAAGAATTTTCTGAATAATGAGCCTGAGAACTCTTCAGGTGGAAAGAAATAAAAAGTAAAAATTTCATGACCCAAAGCCATTAAAATGAATATTAAATAGAGTTTCATTCTAAACAAAGACCGAATTCCCATGAAAAATAAATAACTTACACAGGGGGAAAGTATAAAGAAATTAATGGAAATTTCTCGTGCTGTCGACAGCGCGCAGTAAAAGTGAGAAGCCATATCGATTTTTAAGCTTATATTCTTCGACCTTCTTACCCGGAACCGTTCCGGGGGAGACATTCCCAAATTAACCCTCTATTTCCCGCCGACGCCTACTAGTCTTCTCATTAGCCCCCGACCACGGGTCCTATAGTACGGCCAATGGGATTTACGAGCGGGAAGCCGCCGTAAAACAAGATGCCCCCCCTTTCTGCGCAAACATGAACGTGACCGGTTTGCCAAAGATGGCGGCTATCGTTATTTAATTAGAATAATCGCCGCCAACGATTAATAGCGCGTTTATAGTCACGAATCGGGTCTCGGTTCGAGCTGGGCGGTCACGGTTGATGGACAGCGGGAGTTCGGCGGGAACAACGCGGTACTCGCCGGTTGATATTTGGAAGAGCTTAGCGATTGTGGTTGGCTTTTGGTGATGAAAGGAGTTGTTTAATTTTGAATTCTCCAATAATGC